GAGTTCGGGGCTCGGAGGCGGAGCGACTCTGCGGGGCGTCTGTTCTGCTCCACGGCGTAAGACGGCACTGGGCGCGTGGCCCACCGCCTCATCAAGGAGGAGCGGGGCGAGGCCCCGCCAGTGGCGGCTCCTGGTGATGAGCGCTGGCTGCCGCAGGTGGGGTCGACGGCGGCGGAGGCCATCCTCGATAAGTGGCTGGCCGTCTCGGATAAGCCGTCCCGAGCTGGCGAACAATGGCTTCTTGTGGAGGGTATTCGGATCTTGCGCCGATCCCCGCCGCCCAAACGCGCAGACGCGCAATGTGGTCCCTGTGCAGACGGGGCTCGGAGGGTACAAATTCAATCCGGGGGCGTTGGTGTGTTTGCCTGGCGTGTTGCTGGAGCGCTTCGTGGCCATCCTGAATGCCTTTGAGGCGTCGCCACGTGTGCCGCAAATGTGGCTCACGGTTTGTGTGTGTGCGTGTGCGTGTGCGTGTGCGTATGTTTTGCCCCCGCCACCATCGCAGCTTGGCCGTCGGCCCATTGGTATCCTAAGCTTGTGGGCGCGCGTGTTGTCACGAGTGCGGCAACGAGATGTGCGGCGTTTGGGTGACGATTCGTTCATGTGGGGGGGCAAGTCTGGCGCTACGGCGGCGGATCGGGTCGCTGACACTCATAATATTTCAGTGGTGCACGCCCAGCGGCATGGCATGGTGAGCGGTTCTGTGTTTGTTTCGATTCGTCCCGAGTATCTCTCTATAAATATATACTAGAACCACGCGCGCTTCGGTTCTAGTCACGGCATCATGGCGCCAAAGGGTGCCACGACAAGCAGTGCCATCGACGGCGGATCTCGTTCCAGAGGGTCCTGGCGGCCGGCCCTCCTGGAGCCCTGGATTTCTCGCGCTGCGCTGCCGGCAGGAGGGGGAGGCGGAGGAGGAGGAGACGGAGGAAGAGGAGGGGAAGGAAGAGGAAGAGGCACGGCGGTGGGAAAGCAACGCGAGAGGCGGAGGGAGGAGGAGGTGGAGGAGGAGGAGAAAAACATGCACGGCAGCAGCACCAGCAGCAGCGTGAGCAGAATGAGGAGTTGGAGCAGGGGGGAGGAAGAGGAGTAGGAAGAGGAGCAACTGGAGCTTCCGCGAGCTCCGCCGCGCGCTTTGCCGCGCGCGGCCGCAGCGGAGGCCTTGTGGAAGTGTCTGGAGCCATTTTGTCGGCCAGTTGGGCTGTCTTGGGCCCAGCTTCAGCTTCCTCTGGGTACCCCTGGGCCCGCAGACTGGGCAATATGGATGCCCTGTTGGGCCGTCAAAAGGCAACGCTGGGAGCCTCAGGCGCCGCAGTGGGCGGTTTTGGGGCCCTCCTTGTGGAGCAATGAGCGCCGGGAATCTGAAAAAGTGGGAAAGGCAGAGATCTGCAAGAAGCATAACCAATTAAGTACTTTTGTGTTTGGGGGTCGTGGTGGGGCGCCCTGTCTTGGCGGCCTCCGGGCCTGTCTTGTGGCCATATTCGGCCGTCTCGGGATGTTCGTGGCCCCTCGTGGGACCCGTTTCAATCGTCAGGGTGCCTTCTTGGGCCGCCTTGGGGGCATTTAGGGCCGAACCGGGGCGGTCTGGGCGTCCTCTGGGGCTGCCGTGCAGCGTGGGGATGCAGAGAAGGCTGCGTGGAGAAAAACGTGGGAAAAACGAGGGGACAACCAAGTGTTTGAGTTTTGGGGAGCTCTCCTGGAGGCCTCTGGGGGGGCCTGTGGGAGACCTGGACCGCTAGGCGGGAGCAGCCCCTGGAGCTTCCTGCAACCTCTTAGGGCTCCGTTGGGCCCCCATCCCGAGAAGACACGCATCATCTGCGCATCATCTCTGCGTCCCAATCGGCAGTCGCACTTCGGCGTTCCCGCCGCGCACTTGAATTGCATGGAGGCCCGAGCCGCGCGTAATTCAGGCCTGGGCTCGCTTGCGCGACTCGGCGCGGTCGCGGTCAGCATGCCCGCGGTGCCCGTGACGGTGCACACCCGCGGGCTCCATCCGTTGCAGGCAGCGATGGCGTTGCACTTGCAGAAGGATCCCGCGTGCCGCGCCGCCGCCTCCCTGCCCTTGGTCTCGGCGGAAAACGCGCGCGCGCGGTCGCGCGCGATGTTTCCGAGGAGCAAGGGCGCGGCATGAATGCGCGTGCGTGCGCACGCATTAAATGCATGTGCGTGCGTGCGAGACGCTGCGAGTGCGCGCGCGTGCGCGCGTCTGTTCGCATCTGCACCAGCAGGACCAATAAATCCCCCTTTATCTCGGTTTGCGACGAGGTCTTCAACATGGCAGGCCCCCGTCCATCTGTGAAGGCCGTCTGGAATGCTATCAAGATGGTGGGCCGCACCAGGGAGACCGGCGGCCCGCCGCAGACCAAGTGCGCGAATTGTGGTCGGGGGTCCGCGCTGTCCCCAGAGCAAGAAAACGCCGCGGTGGCCTTCGTGCAACAGAATCGCAACAAGCGGTTCTGCTGCTGCAGGTACATCCGCACCGTGTTGGAGTTGAAGTGCACGAAGAGAACGGTCGTCAACGTTCTCAAACGCCACGGTTGCCGTTGGCGCGCCGTGCCAAAGGTTCGCGGCTTCGACGACGCCGAGCTACAGAAGCGGAGGGATTGGGTCAACAAGTGCGTGGACATGACGCCCGAGCGGTGGCTGGCCAAGATGAACCTAGTCCTGGACGGCGCAATCCCGGCAATGGCCCCCAAGCCGTTAGACAAGCGGCAGCGCCACTTGGCGCAGACGATCCGCCATGCGTGGATGCGGAAGGGCGAGGACTCCGACCCCGACTGCCACTTGTACAACGGGCGCGGTATCCGGCTTGGGACGGCGGTCCCGCTGCGCGGCGGCTTCGCGGGAGGTGGGAGTTTCACTTTGAGGCCGCGGACTCCCAGGCCCAAAACGGCGAAGGCAGAGTGGGCTGCGAAAGTCCCTGCGCTGAAGCGCGCCGTCGATGCAGGCGGCGGCGGCGGGCGCACGAGGCGCGCCATGGTCTGGCGCGACGGCGAGTCGCTCTTGCAGCAGCCCGACCTGCACGCGAAGCAAGGGCTCAGATTCGTGCACTTTCCCGAATTCGGGCGACCTGAACCCGATCGAGACGACGCGGGCGCGGCTGCGAAAAGACCTAGCCTTGCGAGAACAGGGGGATTCCGACGCCAAGAAGGCGATCACGAAGGCGCAGTTCCAGCAGCGGGCCGCGCAGATCCTGAAGAAGTACGAGGCGAAGGCGCCCGGCCAGAAGTGGGGATCGCCTTGAGAAGCTCGCGAGGGGTGTGCCAGCCCGCCCGGCGCAGTGCAAAGCCCGCCGCTACGGCAGGGCGGGATGTAATCCATGCGTGCGTGAGAGTGCATGGGCGTCTGCAGAAGCTCGCGAGGGGGTGCAGGTTCCCCCGGCGCGGCGCAAAGCTCGCCGCTGCGGGGCGCGCGGTAGTTAGACAGCGCGCAGAAGACAATGCAGGCATGAGAGGGATTCACGGCATTCTGCCTCGCCCGACAAAAGAGCGCCGTCGCGGCGTGATGCGCGGTAGCCGCGGATGCGTCCGGCGCCGAGTGCGTCCTGGCATTATGAGACCCTTTGAAACGCGCGAATGCGTTCGGCTCCGATTCCGTGGCGCTGCGAGACCATGTGGGACTTGCGGATGGGCTCGGCGCCGAGGCTTTCTGGGCATTGTGAGACCCTGTGAATTGCGCGAATGCGTTCGGTGCTGAAGGTTTCGCGGCTCTGCAAGGGCACGCGAGTCGCGCGGGCGTGCTTGGCGCCAGGAGTTTCGGGCCGTCGTGAGACCCTGTGAAACGCGCGAGTGCGTCGGCGCCGATGGGTTTCGTGGCGCTGCAAGACCGTGCGAAACTTGCGGAAGGGCTCGGCGCCGAGGGTATCGGAACGATTTGAATGCCTTGAAGACGAGCGGTTGCGTTCGGCGCCGAGGCTTTTGTGGCGATGTGAGACCGTGCGAAGCTCGCAGGTGCACTCGGCGCTGAAGGTTTCGGGGCGATTTGGAACCCTTCGAGACGCGCAGCTGCGTTCGCCGCCGAAGGTGTCGTGGCGCTTTAAGACACTGTCGGACTCGCGGATGTGCTCGGCGCCGAAGGTTTCGGGCACTTTTTGAAACCCTTTGAGACTGCTTGAGGCCGCTTTGAGACCGCCATCGGACGCGTCTGGTGCGTGAGCGCATACGATGTCGCACAGACTTTGGGACTCATCCGACACTCGTTCTCTATACTACTAGATTAGGAGTCGGACAGTCTCAAGGCGGTCCGGGAGCGGACGGGGCCGCCGCCGGGCGGGCGGGGCCGCCACCCAGGTGCGATCCAAGCGGTGCAGAATGTTAGTCAACCTTCTGGCCCGCGTCGGCTCGACGTGGGTGCAGTGCTGCGTGTGCCTGATGGAATTGCCGTTGATTTGATGCGTGCTCAAACTTTTCCATGCGAAAAATGCTGAATCTCGTGTCCGAAATTTTCCCCGTCTGCATTCTATGTCCCAGCGGCTTCCCATGGGCAAGAAGACTTCCTGAATGTATGCCTTGCCCTCTGCGGGTGCTGGCTGCGCGTGTTCGGGCCCCCGGAGATCCCGGCGGTGGATGAGGGGGGGGAGTTCATGAGCATTTTCGCGGACAGGGCTTCAGATGCGGGATGTCTGGCGTCTTCCATCGACGCCCGTGCTCCGCGGAAAAAACGCCATGACCGAGCGAGCGGGGGGGCATTTCCAAGCGATTTACGCGAAGGCGCGTGAGCTGCAGCCGCCCCAGACGAGAAAGGAGGCCGAGGCGCTGCTCTTAGCATGTGAAGCTGCGAAGAACCGATTCATCAATCGTCCTGGGGTTCCTGCTGTTCAGCGAGTGCTGGGGCAGCTTCCGCGACTTCCGGGCAGCTTACTTTCGGATGATTGCATGGGCGCCAGACTACTCACGCAGGACCCTGACACCGAGTTACACCGGGGCCATCGACTGCGAGTTGCAGCGCACCGAGTGATGATGGAAGTGGACATCCATAGTTCTATCGAGCGAGTTCTGGCGAGTGGTCCACGTCCCCGAGCGCCTGTGCAAGCAGGAGACTGGGTTTGAGTATGGGGGAAGTTCACCAAAGATAGCGGTGATCGGTGGAATCCATTCAACAAAAAATGGTTTGGGCCGTGTGTCATGCTCATGGCGAAGGGCGGGCCTGCACTGGTAAATCACAAGGGTGAGCTGCGGCAGCGCAGCCCGGGGCAGGCGAGGCTTGCGACGAGCGATGAATGTCGAGGTGCTGAATTTCTAAGCGCCCACTGCGATGATCTTCGAGAACAGCTCGGCGAGCGCGGGAGGATGCATGGATTCCCCGACGCTGCCGCAGAAGGGGCACCTCCTGACTGGGCTTCGGACGGAGATCGCGAATTTCACCAACCTCATGAGGGGCGCGCTGAGCCTCGACTGGTTGAGGAACCTCCAGGTCCCCGTGGAGAACCTGCAGGGGGTGCCCCAGCTCCACCCTCGGAAGATGAAGGGCGCGCAGAAGCGGAGCCGGGGGCATCTCAATGTGAAGAACCTTCTGAACCCAAGGAATAAGCCCGGGAGCAGGCCCAGGAGGATCCCGAGGACGAGATGCGCAAGGGAATCGAGAAGTAAGTGAGATATGCACTGAGCGAGCCGTTCGAGCGAAACGTCAAGCCAAGGAACGAGTCCCACGACAAAGAGGAGGAAGAGGAACTAATCCGGAGAGCTGCCGCGGCGGCTGCCAAGAGCATCGTTGAGGTGTCGGACACCTCTGGGATGGAGTTGGACGTGTCGGGGCTCAGCCGCGGGCTGGTGCGCAGGTTAGAAGGAGGACAAGGAGGGCCTGGGGCGACGAGGCGCCGGATCGAGGCTGCCATCGAGCGGGCAGTCAGTGGAAACCAGAACCTGCACCTGGGTTCAAAAGCTCCGAGGACGAGTCTTACTCCGGAAGGGGATGACGAAGACCTGCTCAACAATGACTGGCGGGATGAAACGGAGGAGGACCTACTTTTCATCAAGGCAGCCTCCCAGTGTAGTCAGACGCGGAGGTGTATTTTACCAACAAGCGTGGAGGAGACGAAGTGCAAGAGCGACATATTCCCGCGGAGGAATGGCCCGAGTGGGTTGCGTCAGATACTACCGAATGGGATGGGGTATAGTTAACTGGAGGGGTACGTGTGCTATCGCAGGAGGACAGCCGCAGGGTGCGACAGGCTCTGGTGCGCCAAGGGAAGGAGGATCGCATCATTCCTTCAGCCGTCGGAACAGATCGGAGTGCCCGCGAGCTTCAAGAGCAGATGCTGTGTGAGGGGAGACCAAGATCCGGATTTCCTGTCGTTAGTAAGGTCAGCTCTGACGGCGACGACGAGTTGTCTCATGATGGTTATGCAGATCGCGGCGTCCAACAAGAGGAAGGCAACCATCGGAGACCTGTGGAAGGTATGTATTCATGCAGTCCGACAAGCTGGTAAGGGATAGTGGCAAGCTGTACGCTGAGCAGCCGAAGAGCGGACTACCAGACATGGATCCCGGGCAATTGATCGAGATGGTATCAGGAGTCTATGGGCTGGGAGATGCACCCCTTTACTTCCGGAAGGGGCTCAAGAGAGACCTGGTGGAGCTCGGCTATCGTCAAAGTGCGCTGGGTCCCACAGTGTTCATGCTGTTCCCTGCCGAGACGCGAGTACAGCCGCCAGTGCGGCTTCCAGACCTGGGAGGACAACGAGGAATTAATGGACCAGGTATTCAGCACCAGGCGGACATCGAGGGGATCGTGGTCGTGGAGGTTCACGATATCTTTGATGTTGGTGGCGGACGACACCAGGAGATGATGAATCAGCTGAGGGAGCTGAGGAGGTTCGGGAAGGTTACGTCGCTGTGGAAGGACTCTGAAGGCGCGATGTTCAATGGCCGTCAGTATACGCAGGACGAGGGGTTTCAATTTCCATGTGACAATGAAGACGTTAGTCGAAGAGAGACTTGCACTGGTGAAGATAAGCGAGGGAAATAATGGAGGCGAGGGCTGCACGCCCGGGGAATGCAGTCAGGCACGTGCGGTCCTTGGGTCTCTCAATTGGTTTACGCGGAAACTTCGAGCGGACGGCACAGGAATATGCAGTTTACTGCAGCAGGCTCTGTGCAATCTGACGTATGACGACGTGAAGGAGATCAGCCAGCTGGTAAAGCACAAGAAGAAGACTGCATAACTGGGTATCACGGCGTGGTCTGTTCAGTTCGAGGAGTTGATGTGGGTTTCAAGTTTCACACGCCAGTCTCCAGAACAGTAATCAAGGAGGATCACAGGGAGCATTTGCAGTACTTGCTACGACGCATGAGGCAGCCGCTGGGAAGCGTGGGTCCGCGAATCTGTTGACATGAGAAAGCTCCCGAATGACCAGAGTAGTGGATTCCCGAGGCACTGGCTCTCAACACGGGCGTGGCGGAGTTGGGGTGGACTGTTCCGCTGTGCCACGAATTCGCGTTCTCGGGGTTCCGGCTGGATGACTGGGAGAAGTGGTGCGAGCACTTCAGGCTGCTGGCTCTGGCTGGGAAGAACTTGGATGAGGGGAGCGCGGAGATGCTTCGAAAGGGAATGTGCGTCGTGGGCGCTAAGTCGCTGTATGACTATCTGCAGAGGGAGGCGACCGGAGATCGATATCGGAAGTGTTCTACGCAGATCCAGATCATTAGGCAGGCGATGAATGCACTGGGCTGTGAGATAAGGTGGGTGGACCACCCTGCTATGCTAGTGAAGGACACTCTGGCAGCTCACAAGGTGCAAAGTGAGGCAGGGTATTGGCCCAAGAGGTGAACTGTGAGCATGTGTTTAGAAGGCTCAAGGGAGCAGAGTTTTTTCGGGAGCTGTAATTTTGCTGTGCTTAGTGCACGAGTGCCCCTCCCTTCAGCCCCTCTTTTTCCCGCCCTGCGCCTCCCGCAGCCATATCCTGCTCGGGCTGGCTTTCCCCCGTCGTTCTCCCGACTCCCAGATCAGAACCCCGATTCCCAACTACTTCCCGTTCTACACCCTTTCCCACGCTGCACTGTGTCGTGCGCGGCCAATGTTGCAGGCCAGGGGACTCAGACGGTGAGCGCTGGCCTCGTGAGGAAAGAGTGCTCAGCAACCCGTGGGCTTTCATTTTTTATATTCTCTAGGTTTCGTCTTCCCCCCCCCCCACACTTCCCATACTTTCCCACGTGTGTCCTGGGGATCGACAACTCATAGCGTCTGTGCGTTTTTCCCCTCCTGACCCTTGCCTGGCGCTGTTTCTTGTTGTTTGCCTCTTGCCACCATCACCTGACGCTCCCGGGCCCAGACCTGCCCTCCCGCGGCCCTGCGGGGAAGCTGCGGCCGCCTCGATCTGTTCGACCATGGCGGGAGGCGGAGGCGCACGGGCCGGACGGAGAGGGGGACGACTGGGCGTGGGTTTTTTTGTTTTTTTGCAACCCTGTTTTTTTTGGCAATCCTTCGGTTTTTTGCAATCCTTTGGTTTTTTTGCAATCCTTCGAGGCAGGGAGGAGGACGCCAGGAGGCGAGGAGATGGGCGGGGAGGGGGGTCGGAGGGGAGTGAAGGGGGAGCTGAGCGGGAGGGGGAGCGGACGGAGGGGAGGATGGGGGGGCAGGGTGGACGGCCGGCGAGGGGGGGAGGGGGGGAGGGGGGGAGGGGGGGGGGGGGGGAGGTGCAGCCATGGTCGTCTGCACAGGCGCGGGCAGTGTGCAGGGGGAGGGGGGGGAATTGATGCGTCAGGGAGGCAACGAAGGAGAGCGAACGAGAGGGGGGGGGGGAGGGGGGGAGGGAACGGGGAGCAGGAGGCCGGGTCCGTAGGTCCGTCGAGGCACGCTGAGAGTTGAAAGGTCTACAGACTTCGGACGACGACGACGAAATCCCCAGATGCTTCTGCCAGTTCCCAGAAGCCTCTGGATGCCTCTGGAAGCCGACGTGTTCAAAAACAAAACAAATCAACCGGTAAAGTGAAGGGGGAGCAGTGGGAGGGGGAAGGGGACGAGAAGCAGGAGTAGGAGGGGGAGCGAGTGGGAGGGAGAGTAAGATAAGTGCGAACCACAAGCAGGAGATGAGAAGCAGGAGTGGGGAGGGGGGAGGGGGAGGAGTGGGATGAGAAGAAACATGGGCAACGAGGGAGGCAACCGCTTACGCCGAGTGTATCCGGCCCGCTCGCCTTCGCGAGAAACGCTCATCGATCGACCGTAGCTCTGTCTCATCCTGATCATTCGACTTCGTTCCTCGCCTAAGGATGGCTACAGCCCTCTCTGGACGCGAGCGCTGTACACTCGCTGTCTTCACGAAGCCGAAACTTTTTCGGTGGCGCCAACAGGGCCCTGTGGAGAGATATCCGGCGGCCTGCTGCTGCAACATGCTCTGCTTGATCATCTTCCAGTTCGCGAAGATGGGTATCGCCTTCTTCCAGCTGGGCTGATAGCGAACCTCTGGGCACGCCACGAGTTGTGTTGGAGCGGCGCGTGATCGATTCACGTCGTCGTCGGGCTGACAGCGAAGGCGCGGTGCATCGTGGGATCACGTCGTTGCTCTCGTTGCCGCCGTCGTCGTCGTTGCCGGCCGTCGCCGTCACCAGAAGAAAGCGCTGGTTTCTGCCGTTCGCACGGTTCCCCATCCCAGATTTCAGAGCCTAGAGGACCTTCTTTTCCTGCTCCCTGCCTGTTTCTCATCATGTGCGTGCCTTCATGTCTGTCGTTCCCTGAGACGGATGTGCTCACCTATCTTTAGTTCATTGTTAACGATATTAATGGGTCAGCTTTCTGTGTTTCGCTCCATGCCTGTTGATGTATCGTTGTCTCGTTAAGATCGTGTTGGCTTGCATCACCTCATTCTGCTCCTCTCAGCTATTGTCCAACTTGCCCCTCCCCGAGGCACTATGTCAAAGTACTGGGTCAAGAAACCGTCGCAGTCCTCGTCCTCGCGGGGGCAAGCGCTGGGGAGGAAGACCGTGCCCTCTTGCACTGCATCTCCCGACCAGATTATCGACCACTCTGGCCCAACGTCTCTCTGGGACTGGCCAACGAGCTCGCTGTACATCGTCTGGCCACAAAGCAACATCGAACTCCCTCCAGCCTATCCGTCTCCTCCTAATGCTTTTGATGCCGCACTTCCTCCTACTGCCTTGCTGCATCCACGTGTCCAGCACGGCACGGCGCTCTCTGCACGACACGACACGAAACCTCTGAGAGTCTGTGCCGACCACTTCGTTTGGGGCACGCAATTCCACGATATGCTCGGAGGTTTCGGGCCTCTGTTCAGTCACGGGGAACCCCTGACATCCGAACTGTGTCCACAGTGTATACATGTATACATATATATACGATATATGTATATATATACACATCTACATCTAATCTTACATAAGCACACATACATATATACATATACACATGCAAGTATAATGAAGTACATATATAGTTAAATATGTGTGTATATATGAATATGTATATATGAATAGTTAAAAACAGCCGGCCCCCCTGCGGGGCCATCAGGCTGCGAGAATTAGGCTTATACCTCCCTGTACCAGTTGCAGTTTCCAATTTCCACTATTACAATCGTGCTTTCTGCTTCCTTACTGTTACTTGTGGCTGAACGCGCGGGGGGGGAACCGAAAAACATCCTGGTTAGCGTCCCCGAATCGCGTTGCGTGAATTCCCGGGGGGTCGTGGGACACGTAAAAGCCCTTGGTATTCGCGCCCCCGAGGCCATAATTCGCAGTAAATTACACCAGATTCGCGTCCCCGAGGCCATACACCTTTGTAAATTACACAATACTCGCGTTCCCGAAGCCATAATTCTTGGTAAATTGCATGATTTCCGCGTCCCCGAAACCATAAACCTATGTAGAATATTCAACATTCGCGCCACCGAACCCATAAACCCTAATAAATTAATGAATGCTCGCGCTCCCGAAGCCATGACCCTAGAAAATTATACCAGATTCGCGTCCCCAAATCATAAACCCTATTGCAGTACATCATGCTTGCGTCCCCGAGGCCACAAACCTTTGCAAACTACATACTAGTCGCGTCCCCGAGGCCATAAACCCTCATACATTACACAGTAGTTGCGCACCCGAAAACATAAACCTTGGTGACTTATACAATATGTACGACCGCGAGGCCACAAACCATTGTAGAGTACACGATTGTCGCGCCCCCGAAGCCATAAACCATTGTAAAGCACTTGGTATTCGCGCCACACAAGCCATAAACCCTCGTAAGTATTTCCGGCCCTCGCGTGAAGTCCCGACATTGCTTCACGTCAGCGTCCAGACATCCCAACAGAGCTCTGGCAAGTCCCATTCTAAGAGAGGGGGGCCCGCGTCATGGGGGCGAAGCCCTTGCGCACATGTATATATACACACATATATATATAGAGAGAGATCATCTCGAACAACTTTACGCAACGTTCTGAAGTGGCAAGGGAAACATGTAAGATTGCCAGCGTGGAACCCAACAAGACAATTGTTGTACTGCGGATGTGGAGGCGATGTGGCGTAAGCCAAAAGGTATACGTGGTATGACGATGCCTATGCAACATAGGCAAACTGGGGGAAGCTATGTGATACAAGCTACGTGGTGCAAGCCAAATGGTGTCAGCTATGCTGTGAAAATTACGCGGTGCTATGTGGTGCAAGCTGTGCGGTGCAGTCCATGTGGTGTAGGCCTGAGCCGTGTGGCCTGGATCGTGTGGCGGAAGCTCTGCGGTGAACGCTGTGCGGTGCACGCTGTGTGGTGTAAGCTGGGTGGTAAGAGCTTGAAAGTAAGAGCCACGCAGTGGCGTCTGTGCGGCCGCCCAGCGCAAGAAACACCCGCGCGGCGGTCACGAGCGGGCACCCGGCGAGCCCTCGGGCACACGCCCCGCCGGCGCCCCGGGTGCTCGCCGGCGCCCGGCGGGCGGGCACGAGGCGAGACCTCGGCAGGCCCACACACCACGAGGCGCCCGCGAGGCGACCGCGGGCGCCCCTCGAGTCCCGAGCTCCCTGGGCAAGGCAAGGCAAAAGCCCAGTGTGCCCGGGACCCGAACCAGCCCCACGAGCCATCCTGTGCCAGGACGGGCCCCAGAGGCCGCCGAGAGGCTCCCAGAGGCGCACAATAGTAGGCCTCCTGGAGGTCCCGAAGGCGCATCCACAGGGCACCCAGGAGGCATCCCAAGAGGCATCCAAGAGCGCTCTGGCCCGCAAGCCATGCACGGTGGCGAGAGGGGTCGAATGCCTCTATACACATACAGATCTACATATATGTGTGCAGATATGCTTCGGTATACAGTGCATGTGCATCTACACACAAAGTTATCTCTATAATATAACAGCATGAGCACCCAGACCAATCCTGAGATGCGCTCTGGCAAGAATTCCAAGGCGGATCCAACCATGACCTCGAGGACCTCCCAGAAAATCCAAAAAGACAAGAGCTCGCCCAAGCACCTTGACTTTCGATCCTCGTTCCTCCTTCGCCTCCTCCTCCTGCTCGCGAGCCGAGGAGCCGTCAAAACCTCGTGAGTCTAGACCTTCGTCTGCTGGAGCCCG